GATCTGAGACAGCTTAGATAGCCTGCCTAGCCTCCAAGTGCCTTTCCAGAAGGCCAGAGGTCATCTGTAGATCCTGTGTCCTACAGTTAGAGCCAGAAGGATGTCTCAGACACACTGGGCAGCTTGTAGAGTAAGTATAATAAACTTTCACAGAGCTACTTTAACTCAGTCCATTACTGTTCAGTGAAGATGGCAAACATCTCATTTAATTTATTGCAGCATACAACTAAACCAGTGCCAATGATGTACCTGAGTGATAAATTTAACTGGACCTATGCAGAATCAGTCCAGACTGATGTTCTTGAGCTTCCATACGTCAATAATGACCTCAGCATGTTTATCCTGCTACCAAGTGACATCACCGGCTTACAAAAGGTAAAGCAACTGAGAACATAAATCATGTGGAAAAACAAGAGTGTCATTATTTACTTATTTTATGCATGTGTGAGGTAAAAGATTAGGTTGTGGTCATGTTTCTAGAAAAGAGGGTACTGATCAGGCATAAGGAAAAGCAAACCCCAAACTTGGGGCAGCACTGTGAACTTGAAACTCTTGGAGCTCAGACTAGACTCTTGGCAGCTGGCACTTCTTAATGTTGATCAGTCCTGGAAATAGGCAATCCATACCCTACAAGACTGGCTCTTCTTCCAGCTGAACAAAAAAGAGGACAGAAAGCCAGCCCTGCTGAGATTCACTGACTGTACTGATTCAGACAGATAGGATTTCATTCAAAAAAAACCCACCAACCCCAAAAATTGGACAGCTTCCATTACCCTCCAGGAAGTCCAGAGCTAATGCATATGGACACTGCCACCTTCTGTAAAGAGACAGATCCTGCCTTTGGATAATAACTTATTAAATTCTCATTTATGTTAATGGGTGTTCTGTAGGAAAAAAGCTCTTTTCGTAAATTCTAAAATGTAGGGAAGGCAGGAATGTGAACAGCAAATCAACCAGACTATTGTTACCTGCCACTAATGTTTTTGTTCTACAACTATTTAACCCTAGTATATTCCCTGACAGTGACTGAGAACAGTTCAAGCACTGCGTTTACCTACTGTGGATCTCCACATTGGTCTTTCAGTACTGTTTTTTTTTGTACTCTTATAAGAGCTTGAAAAGTTCTGCATTTAAGGAAAGAGAAGAAATAGCACGTAGTGCACAGGTTTTTGAACACTCTGTAATTTTCTGATTCTCTTTTTACTAACTGCAGCTAGAAAGAGAATTGACTTTTGAAAACTTGTCTGCATGGACCAGGCCGGAATTAATGGAGAAAACGAAAATCGAGGTTTATCTGCCCAGGTTCACATTAGAAGAGACATACGACCTCAAATCTACTTTGAGCAGGATGGGGATACAAGATGCCTTCACTGAAGGTCAAGCTGATTTCACAGGAATGTCAGAGAAGGGCGAGCTGGTTTTGTCACAAGTTTTTCACAAGTGTTATCTGGAAGTCAATGAAGAAGGCACAGAGGCAGCAGCTGCCAGTTCAGCAGCACTGGCATCACGAAGTCTTGGTGCTGCTATTATTTTTGTAGCAGATCACCCTTTCCTCTTCTTTATCAGGCACAACAAGACCAAGAGTATCCTCTTCTTGGGAAGGTTCTCTTCCCCCTAGCGAAGCAGCCTCTTGCAACAACAATAATGAACAAAATGCACACCGCGAAGAACATCTCAATAGTCTGCATGCTACCTCTTGATTTTCCTGTACTGTTGACAAATCTCTCAATGTTAGAAGAGAGAACCTAACTGGGAATTCAACCCTCTGGCTCATTTTCCTAGCCAAAGAATCCCAAGATGGTTATCACTACACTGTAAGTATGAAACTGTGCAGAGAATAACATCGATGCATCTTTCCAGCGCTTTCTGAACCAGAGTTGCCACAATACAGACCAGACTAAGTTGATCTAAACCAGTAATTCCCAGCACACTTGCTTTGGTAAGAAGAAAAGAAACAGGAAAAACTCCTTCCTGCAGAATGCTGCTGCATCTCCATTGGTTTCAGCTCTCTAAGCTGATCATCCCAGGAGGGCTACCTCACCCACATTCTTGTCAGTTTTATACCAACTTTGCAGCCTGGCACAGCTGGTAATGAAATAAACTTGCAAAAGCCTCTGTGTTCCTGATACTGGTGCTTCTTTTATGCATGTAAAGGGGCTAACACATGTACTTTCTGATCTCTGTTCTGCAGCAATTGGAAAATACTGAACAACAATATAGAACTGAAGGAAAATAAAACCTATGTGCCTAAAACCTTCTCCTTTGTAACTTTTCATGCATTCAACACTGTTGCCAGCCCAGCAGGGAACTGCTTTACTCTTATTTTGCTTTGTCACTTATTTCTCTGGTTTGAGACAAGATCAAATTGAGTATCAAGCCTGTAGTACTAACTCCCTGAGCACCTTCTGCAAGATACATGCAACTCCCCTCCCTGCCCCGTACACATTTTTTTATATCACAGCTCTTTCTCCTAAGGAGGAGAATGTCCTAATCAGCCATGCACATTTGCAGGGGATGCTCCTAACTCTCTGAATTCAGAACAGAGAGCAAAGGACTGGGTCTCTTACAGGACTTGCAGACGTTACCAGCATCCTACTAGAAATATGTCTTCCTGGGATGGCAGGGCTTTTCTTTACTGATAGAGAGGAGACTGCTGACTGTCACTGAGTCCTTTCTGTTTTCTTCCATGTGACCAGCTGTTTCCAGGGTCCCTTCTGGCTCTGCTTCCCAAATGGGAAGAAGCATAGGAAACTCAACAGCGCTGCCTTCTGTCTGACTCAGCTGTGAAACATAACATAGGTGCCCAGTGCATTCAGCTGCAACTCTGCCTTGCCTTGCTTCCCGTGCAAGGGCTTCACATCCCCATGGCCAAGTCTCTTAAGCACTTCCTGATGTGCCTCAGGAATAAAGATGGGAAAGACATACCTGGGAGGCCAAGGAGGAGCAAAGCCATGACAACATGCAAACTCACTCACAAGGCTTTAAAGTCAATGGAAATGGGAGCCACCTTCTCTTTCTCCTTCAACTATTTAAAGCATGATTGCAAAGATGACAGAGTTAATGTCCCTCTTGGCAGTGCCAGATCATTACCAAGTGACAATGACCACAATACTTGAAGGGCAAGTTGTGCATTAGAGAACAACCTCTTCCCAGCATAAGCAGCACAGCACTGGAGAAGGTGGCCCAGAAGGTAAGAAGAAAGAAAAAGGAAAAACTCCTTCCTGCAGAATGCTGCTGCATCTCCATTGGTTTCAGCTCTCTAAGCTGATCATCCCAGGAGGGCTACCTCACCCACATTCTTGTCAGTTTTACACCAACTTTGCAGCCTGGCACAGCTGGTAATGAAATAAACTTGCAAAATCCTCTGTGTTCCTGATACTGGTGCTTCTTTCATGCATGTAAAGGGGCTAACACATGTACTTTCTGATCTCTGTTCCGCAGCAATTGGAAAATACTGAACAACAATATAGAACTGAAGGAAAATAAAACCTATGTGCCTAAAACCTTCTCCTTTGTAACTTTTCTTGCATTCAACACTGTTGCCAGCCCAGCAGGGAACTGCTTTACTCTTATTTTGCTTTGTCACTTATTTTATAAGTGCTATACACTTATTTTGCTTTGTCACCTCCATTCTCCAAAGGACTATGGCTGACCTTATCTACTGATGGCCCTGCTCCAAGCAGGAGGTTGGCCTCTGAATGTCCGTTTCAATCAATATGTGGGATTTTCTCTCTCTTGTCAACAGCCATTCTGCCTTGCCACCTCCATTTCTCATCCTGCTTGGCATCCTTGTATCTTGACTAGCAAAGTGAGCTGGCTTACTCACTCTCAGAATACTTCTTTGGGATTTGGAGTCTCCTGGCTTGGGCTTTCCCACCACCTAACCACTCAGCTGACCTTTCTCCTATACCAATTTCTTGAGAACTTACTCATCATACTAAAACCAAAATTGTTTAATTGCTGGCATTTCTTCATTGCCTTGCACAACATTGATTTCTGTCACTTTTTTGAACACTTGGCCCACTCTGTTCCGGTAACCAGGCTTGCAGCAAAATGCTTAGCACACAGTACAATTTCCTTCCTTTCCTCCATTCCCTTTCCCCTGTCCCTCAGGGTCTTAACAGTTGTTGCCATCACCTTCTCCTTCTTCCACCACCCAACAGCAGCCTGTGTCTCTTCTGGGACTGCAGAGTGACAACTACTGTGCCATGTTTGCCCCCACTGTATTTTTTCACTCCAACCCTGCTCAAGCCCTCCAGTGGTGTTTCAGACCTTGCCCTCCTTCACTACTTGCAAGTACTGTGCACTAACTCAGTGTTTTGCAGTGTTTCTTTCAAATGACTCCCAGCCATGGTTGCAATGAGATTTCTTCACCAACGCAATCAGTGGGTTGTCCGTCCCTTACCCTGAATAGTCCTTCATGGCTTTGCCTCTATCTGTGCTCCTAATGATTTTCAGTCTGAAGCTGGACTCCCAGTGTCTAATTCGATCACTAAGCTTGACACTTTATGTGAATGTACAGCATCTGAAAACCAGGAGTCACAGCTGCACAAAGCCAAAGAGGGGAATCAGACCTACAATATCTGCTTATATCCGAAAGCAAAACCAAGCATTCTAGTTGTGTAACTATTTTATTAGTCATTTAGTTTAAACAACAGTCCAGTTGTCTCCATAAAACCAAAAGATCATTGGAATGGGTGAACTGTTCTGCTATCCTGTCAGTAGACTATTGTGGTGTAACAACAGAGCTGAGATCTTAATTCCATTCTCCCTTTGAAATGTCCAAAACTGAAAAGTGACAAGGTCAACAAGGACGACAAAATTACAGAAGATCTTTTGGGGATTTGGTAGAAAAGAGCCTTGGGTAGGTGGAAACAACCTGGATATAAGGGAGAAGGAAGGGAGGTGCAAGCAGTACTGTATTTCTAAATTTGGATGTAGGTGAGAAGGAAAGGGAGGTCCAAGCAGTACTATATTTCTAAACGTATTCATTGCTTAACACACAAACGCTGGACCTGACCGAGGACAAGACCTAAGCCATCTCTCTCACGGGATCAGAGGTAAATATTTAAACCAATTTAACTAACTTTTCTGATGCTTTTAAAAAGTAATCTGTGGGTTGCATGACTGTACAGGTGAATTATAATATACTGGTGTTATAGTGCATTATTCTTGCCTCATGTTTTTCTAGATGTCAATCCTTACAGAAAATAAATCTATCAGGCTAAGGAAAACTGCTAATTTGGGGCAGAACTGATGACAAGAAGGAAAGTTTTCTTAGGGCAGTAGCCATATTAATCAAAACTTCAGTTTGATAAACAAGTTCCACACTTTAGGTGAAGAAAAGGCCATTTTCATTCTGCAAAGGCACAGCACTTCACAATATCAGGCCAGGGACTCTGATGAATACTCATTAGCATAAAACAGAGACATTTCTATTTTGATGCTCTCTTGGTTGTGTTCTCCAAGGAAAGAAAATCACTCTGTGGTACAGATTTGGTACTGACAGCACACTGACTGCCACAAGAGCTGTAGTGCAATCAAACACATAATATTAATATTGATATTAATAGTAATACTAATGATGATGACAATAATGACAACTTTTCTGGTCTTTTGACTAGAAAACAACTTGAGAGAGGTACCACTGGGCAGATACATTAAATACTGGAATACTCATAACCTCAAGGAATCTGCCAGTTTCTTGGGAAAATAAAATTGCCGGAACATACAGAAGGCGTGGTTGGTACACAAAATGAATAAAATTCTATCAATATAAAAGCAAATAACAACTTTGCTATTCATGATACTAGTCAGAACAGGTGGCTGGCCAGGAACAGCACACAATCCTAAGAATTATGCCTACATTCTTTCTCAGTATCAGCTCCCTATTCTACACAGATTCAAAATGAAGCAGTGGGAAACTCAGGTGTGTTGTGAATCTATGTACTAAAACTGCACTTAAGTTCACTTGGGAACATAACTTTGATAAATCACTAGTTAAGGATGAAAAGGAAGGCAGGTTACAAATCTGCACATTGCTGAAAACCAAAGGCAGAAAGAAATACAAAGAAAACTGCAGCTGTATAAAAGAGGACATACATATACTTATAGGAAAATATTATCTGGATAACAAAAAACCTAAAAGAAATTGCTGCTCCTAAAATGTGGCAAACGGTATCTTTGTGGAAGATAAAACATGCAACTAGGCTATTAGTTTTAGTGGGTGCCAAGGCATTGTGTTGCACATATAACAGTTTTGCAGTGTGTACGTAATTTTAAACATCAGAATAGTACAATTCTGTCTGTTGCCTCTTTCCAGGTTGTAGCAATGGAACTGGTCTCAACATCAATTGGCAAGTTCACAGTTGATATTTTCAACAAGCTGAATGAGACCAACAAGGGCAAAAATGTTTTCTTTTCCCCTTGGAGTATATCATCTGCTCTGGCTCTGACCTACCTGGGTGCAAAAGGCAAAACGGCAACAGAGATGGCAGAGGTAGGTTGCTCTATGAAACATACACCCCATAAATACCCATCTCCTGTACTGGCTGCAAATTTAGTGTTAGATAGAAAAAAAATGTCACCACAGTGAGAAGGAACCAAGGCAGACCTCAGAATGTAGAAGCGAATAATAAATTTTATTAATTTCATAGCAGGTGCCCCACTTCTTCACTAACAGAAAGTGTCCTGTGGGTATCACTCGCTGAGCACAGAGGTTCTCTGAACCCAACTTCTTCTAAGTTATTCTGGACCTTCTAAGTTATCCTGCGGTTCTATGATTCTGTCACAGATGGGATACTCCCTTTGAGAAGCAAACAGGTGGCACCAGTAGTTCCTAGCTAATTGGCAGGAGGCTTGCAGATCGCAGCACCCTCCCTCCCTGGCCAGAATGCATCTTTCGTTCCTGATTTATGCTTTTCAGAACAACTGCCTGACAACCCAGCAGGAAAATAGGAAGGGCTTTGATATCTCCACAGCCCCCAACCCAATCCTTCTTAGTGCCACATGGGTACATTGCTGGCTCAAAGGCAGCTGTGGTGCCCAGCTCTGCCCACCTCTCTCCTCTATGTCACCACACTCCCATTCAGATGCCTTTGTACCAGTACCATGAGGACAACCATCTGGGTTTGCACAAACACATTGCTATTGCTGAGAGCAATAGCTGTTGAAGGGAGTTCAGCCTTGCAGCACGCAGACAGGAGCGCTGCGTTGAAGCTCAGGGAGGGAGACAGCGCTACTCATTGTTACTCTACAGGATTTATGTATACTGCAGCTTCACCATCCCTTTGATTAGTCACCTAAGCATCAGATAGCACAGTAATTTATCATACGGAGAAAAAAAAGGCAACCATTTGATCCCCATTTGGCTTTAAGTCACACCAGTTGCTTCACGTCTCTTTCTTACCTTTGGAAACTCTGCTTGCAGGTTCTTCATTTCACTCAAGCAGCAAGAGCTGAAGGTTCTTCTTCTGTGGCCAGACCTTCCCGTGGGAGACCAAAGAGAAGAAAAATGGTATCTATTAGAACTGAAATCCAAAGATAAAGAATCTCCAGAATCACAATGTCCAGATACAGCTTTAGAAGTCCAGTATTTCTTGTCTGCACCTCTCTTTAAAGTACAAACCCCAACATACATCACAATAGGTTCATGTTCAGTTCCTTTCATTCAGACTCCCAAAAGCATGGAAGGACAAGTCACTGGGGTGGTCTGGAAGGTTTGCTATATGGCAAGTCAGTTAATCCAGTCATAAACAGACTGCAAATTGCAGTGACAGTAAACTAACTTAGAAAAGTAAAAAGAAAGAGGAACCCAAATCCCTCTCCCACATACATCAGTTAGCATGTTTTGAAAACTTTATGCAAAAATGCAATTGCTGAATGCATGCTTTCTCTTCCCAAGGATCCTGAGCACAAGCAAGCTGAAGATATCCATTCTGGCTTCAAAGAGCTCCTGACTGCCATCAACAAACCCAGAAGCAGCTACTCGCTGAGAAGTGCCAATCGCATTTATGTGGATAAAACTTTCCCATTATTGCCTGTAAGTTAAATCTCAGAGAGGAGTATGACAAGGTGCAAAAAAATATTTCTCATTTTAATTACTTGTCGTCAATAGAACAGGTTTGAAGCTGACTGGATGCCAGTGATAAACTTAACTGGAAGACACCAGTCGGTCTGCTCACAGTATTTAAGAATGAATTGCCATTTGACTGTAGTGTAGGGATTTCTTTTCATGCAATATGGTTTTATTACTGGAACCCCCAATATTATAATTGTAAATGGGACATTAAAATAAGCACACCTGTGAGACGTGCACAGCCTTCCTTGCTTCTCCAAATAAAAGTGGGAACAAAAGAAGGGAATTTTCTGTCCTTGGGTTATTCCTTAACTGTTAACTCACAGTCCAACAAAGAGTAACAAGCAAGATCCTGCAGTCCCAAGAAGCAAGTCCAAGCAAGTCCCAAGAAGTCCCAAGAAGCCCCAAGAAGCTATCAAAAAGTCCAAGAGCTAACAAATTCCCTTTGGGACTGAAAAATCAGTATACTATAGGGGTTGGTTTGGGTTTTTTTTTTCTATTTTTCAGACATACATACAGCTCAGTAAGAACTACTACAAAGCAGAGCCACAGAAGCTTAACTTTACTACAGCACCGGAACAATCCAGAAAGGAAATCAACACTTGGGTTGAAAAACAAACTGAGGGTAAGCTGAGCTCAACTCCAGCACCTTTACTCTCCTATTAAACCAGCCTGACATTTCCCTTGGGCAGGTGCCCTTGCTTCCCCATCCGCTACTGCAGCAGCCAGGTCATGCCTTCTGATGTGGACAGTGAGCAGTGGGAGGACACAGAAAGAGCAGCAGCCTTAAGCAGATCCAAATACCTGATCCAGACCTCAGTGAGCTCCTGGGGGAGACTCCCACTGACTCCGCTGTGCTCTGCATCACCTGGTCCTCAAGCACAGCTGCAGCCCTGGCGCTGCACCCAGGTACCACAGGCAGAGTAGGCAGAGGGGAGAAACACCTCTGCCTGCTGGTGTGCTCCAAGGCAGCTGGGATGCCTACCTAGCTGTACCATCCCACACTGGCCAGAGGTGCTGGTCTCCTCTCATCTGGGGTAACCAGCTGGCGAGGCAGTACATACATGGCTTCTGCTTCTAGTTGCTTGCCATGAAGTTGTGACATGCTGGGGGGAAGGAGTCAACCCTGTCAGGTAGCCAGGAGAATAGCTACCAGCAAACACCTTTGGAAACCGTAAGCAAACTAATTGATTTATATCAGGGGAGTATTTTAGGGAGTAGGGCACTGAGGCATGGAGTATTTCACCAAGGAGTTGAACTGAGATAAAAATCAATCATTTCATGTCCTCACTGTGCTACACTGGAATGAAACCTAACTTTTCCGATTTCAAAAGGCAAAATCAAGAACATGCTGGGTTCACGAGATGTGTTAAACTCCACCAAGCTGATCCTGGTAAATGCCATTTACTTCAAGGCAGAATGGGAAGTGAAATTTCTGGCAAGAGATACAGATACGCAACCCTTTCGACTGAGCAAGGTAAGCTCCTCTGGTATCCTTCTTACCATAAACAGCATGGTGACAACAGCTACTGCTGAAATCTTTCCATTTCGTAAGCCTTTTAGGTATCCCTGTGGTAACTAGGCTCTCTGTGCAAAGCTGGTTACAGCAAAATGTGTCAGTGCTCAGCTCACTGCAACATTAAGATGCTGCTCAGGTAAATGTTAGTGAGCTCCAAATAACAGTTTCTATTTCCAAAAGCACTAGAGTCACTTAAGACCTTTTTGCAAAACAATGCTAAAAGGGCTCTGTTGTGGAAATGTGATTCTGAGAGTCTAAGCTTCATGGACAGGAACTCCATGCCATGTCATGGGTGAGTACGGTACCTGGGCCTCTGTACTGTGCAGCCTGGCAAGGCCCAAATATATCTGCTCAGGTACAGCTGCAAAAGGGTATTCTGAAAGGGTACACGGTTGGGCAAGGGTAGAAGAAATGTTAATAGCATGTATCCAGAAGAGACATCAATGAATTCACATCAAAATACAAGAGCTCGGTACAATTCCCATGAACTGTACCTTCTGCCGTATTCTGAATCATAGAATGGTTTGGGTTGGAAGGGACCTTGAAGATCATCGAGTTCCAACCCACCTGCCCTTGGCAGGGACACCTCCCACTAGACCAAGTTGCTCAAAGCCCCATCCAACCTGGTCTTGAACACTTCCAGGGATGGAGCATCCACAGCTTCTCTGGGCAATATTTAATCTAAATCTATCCTCTTTAGATTAGCAGATATACACTGTCTGCTTCCCTGAATAAAGGGACGCAGACATCAAGAGAGGTTACATACTCCTGCAAAGGTGACTGCTCACCAGGAACTCCCCTCATCATGAGCACCTTTGCTCAGACATTAAAGTTACCTTTTGTTAAGGGTTGTGACATAAAGAGCAATAAGTTTTTCTTGACAGAGGAGACCACAGAAAAACTGCACATCAGTCATTCTCTTAAACCATAGCTGTTTCTCTGCCGTAGCGTTGTAAGGAAATAACCCATACCTGGTCCATCCCCCTAATCCTTGCAGACTTTTCTAACTCTCTTCCTCCCTCCTCTGTGGGCTGCTGAGCACATTTTGGGGAGAGGATAAAATTAGTTAGTTCAGCCCTCGATAAAACGCTCTGGGACAAATGCCAAGATAAGCAATATTTTCCAGTCAAGAAAAGATTTGGAAAACAAATGACAAATCACTAATATGAAAGCTGCTTACAAAAGTTTCCTCTCCCTCTACTGCACTGAGTCACCATCATCCTGCTTCTCAAGGAATGATTACTTACTTATAAGTAAATACTTTACAGAACAAGACCAAGCCTGTGAAGATGATGTACATGAGAAATACATTTCCAGTTCTCATCATGGAAACAATGAATTTCAAAATGATTGAGTTGCCATATGTGAAACGTGAACTCAGTATGTTCATCGTCCTTCCCGATGACATCAAGGACAGCACTACAGGTCTCGAACAGGTAACAAAGTATGCTACATCCATTTTGTATCACCACTCAGTCATTAAAAAAAAAGTAAAAATGGATGGGCTGGTGACCTTATCTCTCCCTCTGAGGACATGCTGTTTGGTCTCCTCCACTGGCTGAATTAAGTTCCTTTAATACCTATCCAATCCCAAGAAAGTTCCTCCACACTGAGTGCCCTTAGTTTCCTAAGAACTGAAGACATTGAAGGCTGTGCATAATCAGATGCTTAGCTCTTCAATAGCCCCATGACTAACACCCAATCCTACATGATCTGCAAGGGTTAAATCTCCCTTCACTGCACATCTTGGAGGGACAGTACTGCACAAGTACTCACAGCCTCTTCCTGAGATATCAGACAACTCTTCTCCATGACCTGGAAGTTTATTCACCATCTTGTTCTCATTTTGTTTGCCCCCACACACATTTGTTTGCTGTCTGAAAACCTAGGATTTTTGTGAGACTCCATTTGCTGCCATAATGAGATCTGCCCCTGGAGTTACTACAGTTGCAAGACTGTTAAATTCTTGGCATCTGTTGTGTCAAGAATACCATTCATTTCTCTCCTCCATTTGATCTGAGCTGAACCCTGGTGACATAACACACAGGACACAGAGAGGCAGTGAAAGATTTTGCTGGAAGTGGTTTGTCTTAAAATTGCCAAGGAAATACGTGTGATATTAACACCTGTTTCTATGGAACCGGACCAAACCACCTGCCGCAGAGCTGGCAATCTCCCAGCAATTTTCCTTACATCAATACTGAATTGAAAGAGAGGAAAGAACTACCTCAGGGGATGGCAGCCACAGGTGTTGAGCGCCCTGACTTTCTTTTGCAATGAATTTGGCAGGGGTGGTGCTCAAAACCATTGAGTCTAAAATGTTTGTTGCACACCCTGCCTCTGATCACCAGTAAAATCAATTTATATTTCATGCTTTCAGCTAAATGCTAAATTTGTCATTTAAAAATTGTTTAACTCATTAAATTGCCATAACATCGATTAATTAATAGTTAATTGGTTTTCCCTTGCAAACATCAATTCCTTTTCTTTTTGAAATGACAGCTGGAAAGAGAACTGACATATGAGAAACTGTCTGAATGGACCGAATCCAAGAAGATGACCGAAACTCTTGTGGATCTGTACCTACCTAAGTTCACAATGGAAGAAAGATACGATCTCAGTGATAAACTGATCAGCATGGGAATGCACAGTGCCTTCAGCAGCAATGCTGATTTCAGTGGAATGGCTGAGAAGGGTGGTGTGATGATCTCCAAAGTTTTTCACAAGTCTTTTGTTGCAGTTGATGAGAAAGGCACTGAGGCAGCTGCTGCTTCTGCTGTAAGTATAGTACTTACAAGTGCAAATATCAGCCAGGCTCTGATGTTTAAGGCTGACCACCCTTTCTACTTCTTCATCAGACACAACAAATCCAAGAGCATCCTCTTTTTTGGCAGATTCTGCTCTCCTCTAGAATGAGTTATTACTTGCTCCCAGACAGTACCTAAGGTTCACTGTTCAACGGAACAACGTGATCTGCAGTTTTAGAAGCTCAACCTTAACCCATGCAGCAATACGTAGTGAAAGTGTACGTCCCTTTTCTCCCACCCCTCCCCACCCTGCCCCAAGTAAGGCAACACCCAGAGACCACCCTGCGCCTCAGAGACCATCTCTCTACTGCTCCTTTCCATCATTCTAATGAGACAGTGCTACCCAGAAAACAGAGTGCAGAATTTTGCTCACTTGCATCAAACCTGCTTTGTTGTTCAAGAGTAAGGTGGAGCCATAAATCTGCACACAAGCCATCATCTAGCCCCATGCCAAGTGCTGACTTCAAGGGAATTGCAGTTAATCCTCTTGAATCTCCCAGAGAGGAAAAAACCCTGAAAGAAAAAAAAAAAAAAAAAGAACTTGCTGAAATCTATATGCTCTCTTTTCCTCACTGGGAAACCTGCACTTGCATTACAATGCAGTTTCCTTATATACCTTTCAAATGACTGTTGGAAATTAACAAAATTTAGTACAAACCTAGAATAATCTCAGAATGCCCCTCACCTTCCCTGTCTCACTGTGTGTATACAGACACATTGCATTCATTCTCTCCTGCCTTTGCAACTTCATGAAAAAATGTGACAATGAGGGAAAATGGTCCAGCCCTTAGTGCTTAATGTCCAACTTCTAATCACCTTGCATTTTTTCCTCATTTTTCTAAGCTTTGTAGGTTAAGGATGCTGGGAGTTTGAACCAGCAAAAATGCTAAGAAAACTATGCGCAATGTGCTTCTTGATATCTATTATTGATGTGCAATCTAAACCATCCAGAATTCAAATCTGCTTCCTCTTTTTAATTTAACCTAATTATATCTGTTTCCTGGCTAATAACTGCCCAGTTTCCTTGCTATCTGCACTGCTGATCAATGTCTGATTTATGCAATGATTTATGATGAATTACATAATTTGTGAGTGCATCTCAACTAAGATAGTCATGGTATTGACAGAAACACCAGTGCGATTTTGACTGATGCTTTACTTCATATTTTACCATGATCTGCATTTAATCCAATAAATGAACTTGGAGTTGTGTTTGTGCTATCACGTTTCCATTCTCACCATTCCAAATTCACTGCAAATTATCTGCATTGATAAAGCTGACACGCTTAGTTTTATTCTCCCTAGTCTTCAAACAGCCCCAAGAACACTGTTCAGTATGTTATCCTAGGCATTTACTAAACATTTCAAATCAAATTAAACATTGTGATGAGCAAGTTTTTCCTCACTGAGTCAAGCCATTTGTGGGAAAATAATGGAAGACTGGCGAGGAGGATTGTAAAAACACTCAACTGACTTGCAGCTGGGGCAGCAAAAACACACATATCATACTAATTGTTGTTTAGCCTTGTATGTTGGACAGTCTGTGTTTAGATAACACAGATAAGACTTAGAGGCACCCTATCGAACATGCTTGACGTTCCTGCCCTGATGTGGGAAAGACCAAAGCAGAGTGGTAAGATATGCCTGCATGAATCCCTGATATACAGGTGAAAACAGCAGGTTCGGTGATCCTAAGCATGGACTGAGCACAGCAGTGCCTGAGTCCCCACTTGTGTGACTCTCCCTGAGTGCTGCTTCAGGGATCCCCCAGTTTGTGAGGTAATGAAATTAGATTTACTCTTTGCATTTTATCCATGGTTTTGTGGTTGTTCCTGCATCCTGCCTGTACTGGCACACGCATTTCGATTTTCCTGTTTAAGCATTTCATTTCCCATTTTTGACGACTGCTTCTTGCACTATCATCCCCCCCTGGGACCTACTCAGGAGGCTTGTTTCCCTGTCACAACACACTAGAAATAAAAAGTCTGCCTAGAGCCTATAGCCCAGAAGAGCAGCTTCCAAACATCCCTTTTGCTCTGTAGAATAGTGAACAAGCAATGCTGCACTGGCAACATCAGTTCCCTCTGTTGGCTTGGGAGGGCAGCAGTTGTGCTTTCTTGTGGCCATAAGGAATAGTATAAAGCTTTGGAGCTATTGTGGGACTCGATAACCACATGTCAGAGATCATTATCTAAGGCAACAAGATTTGAATGTAGGAGGGAGGTCCTGTAAAAACATTTACTCTCAGCAGAATTCCACCTATAATTACAACTCACTCCACCTCCACAAAACCTATGCTATTTAGAAATACATCTCCACCCAACAAAGTATACCTGCATCTTCTTCCCTGTACAAAGTGCTGCTTCTAAAATCAGTGCCCTCCCTTGCCTGTAACCTGCAGCACAGGGTTCAGCTGTCTGTCATCCAGGACCTACCTTGCTGCAGCCCAGTTGTGTGCTACTGACTCAGCTTTACTAAGAAGTTTATTTTTTAGGTGTGGAAAAGCACACAAGTGAAGGCCATGCAAAAAAAAAAAAGAAAAGGAAAAACATGAACAGAGAAGTTATTGTCAGGATGGAGTAGTCAGCATAGCAAGGCTTCAGGAGCAGAAAAACTTGCATAAGGGCGTAAAAAATCACAATTAAAAAAAATGTTGAATTCCTAAATTGTGTTTACCCAGTTTGAAGAGTCACTGCATGTAAGAGCAAAAGTTGTCCAAAGAGATGGGAAGAGTGCCGTGCCAGACCAAATGAAAGGTCTTCCCATGCTAATTTTTGGGCACCCCCTCACTCAAACCACCCTGCAGAGCTCTGCAAAGCAACACCTGTGTGTCTCTGAGGAACTACAGCCCAGTGTCCGCCAGCTGGTGAGAGCTCTAAAGGGTCAAACAGGCTGGTTTTGGTACAAAGCTGCTCCCAGTCTCAGCTTTGCTTGGGAGATGATGCCAACAGCACCCCCTCCAGTATAACACATACTTGGGATGCAGGTAAAAATGTTGAAAGAGAAGGAAGAGAATCCATCCAGAGGTTAACACCCTTTAGACCAAGCAACGCTGGAAGCTGCTTCATTTTTGCCTCCCCGTACTATTTTCATGGTAACTAGTGTCTGGCTCTCAAGTCAGGCTAACACTTACAGAAATACAGAATCGTTCAGGCTAGAAGTGACCACTTGAGATCGTCTGGTCCAACACCTTATGCAAGCAGGGTCAGCTAGTGCAGGTTGCATTCATCTTTGTAAAATACTCAAAGGTAGCCAAGTAATAGGTGCTACATGACTGCTTTTCCAAATAACTGCTCTCAAGAAACCCCGGGTTTGTCCTGTATCATCAAAATTTCAGGTCCACAAGCTCCTCCTTGAAAGGTCCCAGGACTTTAAAAACTAAAGAAAGAAGTATCTACAGGACAGTGCTGAGATAAGCCTCAATACAAACACATTGTGAGCATAGACTGCAAGTCAGCTAGTGATTCTATGCCTGTCAAGACACATTACATTAACAGGGTTTCTGCTTATCCTACAATGAAAGACGGGGCTTTTGTCTCCCAGTGCAAATCTCAGCATCATAAAATAATCCCTGGCACCTCTGTGGCAGCTGACCTCATGACAAGCAGAAATGGCAGATACAGCACACAATAATAAAATCCAGTGTGCTGGTGTACTGTTAGTATTCAAGACGAGGACACAGAAAAAAAACCACCCTGCTTTAGAACTGAAATGAAAATGCATCCATATTTTTTAAGGTTCTGTTCTTCCACCAGTAACAGGCACAAGAAAATCTCTTTTAAAGATATTTTAATGTTATTTATAGTCCAATCCTTTAGCTCTGTTGCAACAGATGTAATAAATGCTCTCATTTTCTTCCTGGAGGACATATCTGCATGGGATTTCCTGCAGAATTAAAAAATTCATAATTGGATTTAGTCTAGCACTGATTTTCAATTGTGCTGATTTTTACTACATGTAACTGCAAGAGAACCGATCTTCAAGAAATGCCCAAATGTCCACTCAGAGTGGACCATTGACAAAGTACAGGTATGGCAGTAAAACAATCAAACAGGCAGAAAGATACAACCTTACACCTATGCTGAGCAAGATGGGGATGAAAGATGGCTTGAAAAAAAATTACTTCATTAGTATGCCAGAGGAAAATGACTGGTTTTATCAAAAGACTTTTTATGACTTGTTGTCCCAGGTCAAGCCACTTGAGGTCAACGGGTCAGTCATTGTGATGCTGTGAAACCTTGTTTCTATCATTCCAGTTGCAACAACCCAGTATTTCCTCTCACTGTTTCCATCTGCCACAGAAAAAAACAAGAGCACCTCTTTTTTGGCTAATTTTCTCCCCTTTGAAACTGCAGTCTCTTACTAAACAGGATCTTGCAGCAGCTGGAGTATACCACAAAGAGTTTCTACACAGTTTGGGTACCCTTTCTTCATTTTCCTGTATTTTTGGCCAATCTTTATAGCTTGTAGTACCACTAACTTTTTTCCTTTATTTTCTTCTCCCATTTATTTAGCTAAAGCATAGACAGCAGTTTCAGATACATAGCAGAAACATTTCTTAAGCACATAACTAACCATAATAGTGTCTAATACATTTCTGAAGCAAGAAAGTAAAGTGGACACAAAAACTGCACACACTTAAAAACAATATGCGTGGAAAAAGGGAGGTACTTGTAACATTCCTGAAGCCTTGTATGGCATAAGTACCAGTCAGACTCAAAGTGAACATAAGCACAAAAATTTATTCTAGTTCAAAATACAGACTTGTACCCTTTGTACTGATCCTTTTTCTGTATAAATCAACTGCATGCTGGTAATTGGTTTACTCTGCATGTGTCATACTAGTGGGTAGAGGCCATTCCTAACCATAAATGTAGCAGAAAAGACATAATTGCAAAGGAAATTTATCAATGCAGTGTAAGTCACACAGATAAAAATGGAGGAAAACAGTGGAATTGCTAATTGCACTGGTTTAAAGTAAAACACTTGTGTACACCTAACTGTTTTGCATTACACCTTTCCTGATCTCCAATTTTACACATTCTGCTGTTTGGCTCTTTACTCTGATACAAAAAACAGTATTCTTGGTAAAAGAAATCATTACAAGCAGACCTTCCAAGCTGTTTTTCAGCTTTTGGTAGATTATCCAAACTCTCTCAATTCATCACAGAGGAATAATAAGCTCGTACAGAGTAGGGTCTGTAGGTACCTAAAGCACCTTCACCTCCTCTGCTAGGAGCAGCAGTCTCAAAGCAACATCCAGCAGTTTGAATTAGTCCAGTGTTCACTCTTATTTCTTTGTTTATTTTAGGTGATCTGCTTTCTGAAACAGATGAGCAAAAATATTAAAAAATAAAAAAAAAGGGCTTTCTGTGCCCTGAAGGCCACAAGTATTCAAATCCCTCTCAAATTTGACCACAGGATGAATGAGACTAATAACCTATTTCAATATTCCCTTTTAGCCATATCTCTGAGATTAGTTTCTACTCACTGTCCCAGTTTGTAGAGTAAAAAGAAAAGGAAGCTTTAAAATTTCAACATGTCCCTTGTCAACATAGGGTAGTTCAATTCTTTTCTGCAATTCCCACATTT